GCCTGAAGGTATTTTTAAATCGTTTCAGCCAATACATTACAGCCATTTCTGAGAACAAGACTAGCAGATAATATGTTTGGCCCATGTTTAAAAAATATGGAAATCTTTTCTCTGAACAGTTCCAGCCTCCCTATATTTTAGAGTAGGGTCTCTCCTTTGTGACTAAGAGGCACCTTTTTCTGTCCCTCTGAAAATTGGCCCAAATTTGGTCAAGCTTTAAGAATTTGGGAAAAAAATGCAGTTTGCATGTTTGTTAGAGACTTTTTTGAATTTAACAGCTAAAATCTGAAGTTTCCATATTCACTGACTAAGTTTCATGCAATTGAACGCTAAGTATTCTATAGCCCAGAGTTACAGGGGCTCTCTGGACTTTCTCTGAAATGACTTGAGGCCAGGGTGGGCTGGACACAGGAGCTAAGGATAAGAGGCCTATCATCCCTGTGCTCTCTGTGACACTCCTGCTGGTACCCATCCAGGCAGAGTGGAGAGGACCACTGATTCAGATACAGAGGGAGAAAACCTTGGGTCTAGGGGAGGGAAAGTAGTATACTGGGATAAGGGATCTGGTGGCATCCATTGGAGGTAGGGGGAGAGAGACAGAATGGCTGGAAAAGGAGACTGGAATGGGGAGCTGGAGGGGAAAATGAGATAGGGACTGGGAATGGTGGGAAAAGAAGTCTAAGAGCTAGTTGAGTGGGACAGGCATTGCAGAGGGAGAAGAAATTGATCTTTGAAAAAGCAACTGATACTAGGCAAAGAGACTGGGACACACAGCCTGGGATGGGAGTGACTAGAAAGACCTGGAAAGAGATTGGATGAAAAATCCAGGGTGGGAGACTAAGATCAGGGACTAGGTGGGAGACTATGTCTGCCACGAGTAGGAGGGACTAAACTTGACCTCTTGAGATTTCTTCCAGTTCTATGATGCTAGGATTGGGAGAGAGACACATAGGATGAGGAACCAGGGCAGAAGAACTGGAACTGATTGTGCAAAGCATCGGGGGGCAAGCTGTTGGAGACAGGAACTTGCTGGGAAAGATGACTGGGATTAGTCACGCAATGAACCTGGTATGAGAATAGGATTGGTTGGACAAGGAGACTAGAACCTGCTTAGTAGAGACTGAAGACTGGGATAAGGAACCAGAGGTGGTGTAGAGATGGACTGGGACAAGTTGAAGGGAGTGTGACAGATGAGAATGTAGCTTAGAATGGCAGAGCTTCCAAGGCCCAAAATGAAACTCAAGATCTAAGTTTCATGGTCCTCTGCTGTCAGCAAATATCTCTGAAACCTGCTGGTAAAATGTGTCTCTCATCACCTTCAAGTGCTAGTCTCCATGGAGGATGATAACCTACTATTGCTATCAGCATAGGTGACTGGTGCCAGAGTAGAAAGGGGTGCAGAAGGGCCACTCACAGGTACAGGGAGGGTGCATGAGGAGGCACCCCATTTAGCAATTAAAATTTTGGTGGGGGCACAGGGAGGCAGCGCACCTCCTGAGTGCTACCACAAGTTGTTTATGGCTGTCAGCTACTCAATTAGTTTAAGTGGCAGAGATTTTGGAGGTGAAGCTTGCTGGCAAACTATGAGGTCATGTGCTATTTTTGCTCAAGGATCCAATTCACAGAATGTCAGAATGTATGCTGCTCTAGGGATGAATTAGGGTTGTGAAAGAAAGGAGATTGTTGTCTGTAGGACCTCTGCTTCAATTGTAGCTGAAGTTGAAATATAGGTAGTAAAAAAGGCAGGGGATTACAAGAAGAGAAAGGATGATCTTGGGTTAAGGTGAGTGAATGCTGCTCTGGCGGAATGAATTCTGTCCCTGCCTCTATCACAGAGACCCTGTGTGATGCTGGGTGAGTCAATTAAACAATCTTTTTCACAGGTGGTCACTGATTGTGTGTTCCTTGCTTTCTGGGGCCTAACTTGAGACCTGGGGTAGGAGTGCAGAATTGCTACACTTCAAGCATCTAAAGTGCTGTATAAAACCAGGTGCTAGGCATCTCAAATTGGGCAGCCAAAAATCAGTGAGCATCTCCCTACCTCCACTCCTGATCTGAACACTGGAGATAAAACAAACTCTTCACCGTGCAAGGGTGTTTCGAAGAGAGATAAACGTTTGCAAAGCACTCAGATACTGAATGCCATAGACTCCTTGAGAAAACCAGTAATCATAGAATCATAGAACACTAGAACAGGAAGGAACCTCAAGAGGTCATTGAATCCAGTCCCCTGCCCTCATGGCAGGACCCAGTACCATCTAGACCATTCCTGACAGATGTCTATCTAACCTACTCTTAAATATCTCCAGAGCTGGAGACCTGTCTTCAAAGCTAGATGTGAATGGTGTGCCATAACTAAGGCCAAGGGACATATAATAAACAATTAATATGAAATAAAATATGGAATAGCTGCTCATAATTGAGCACCATCCATCCTGTTCACTGAAAGAGGTCGTGGCCCAATGAAAAACTAGTATGATCATGCAATTAGAGACTGTCCAATAATGCATACATGCATGGAAAGCCAAATTATGATTGCTCAAGCAATCTTCATAATGGCATTTCCTAACCTCTTGACTCCATTATGTTTGCAGTATTCTTTTAATAGAAGTTTTGTACGTAATATAGATATAGCCTTACAACCCACATTTAAAACATCCAGTGACACATGACATGTGTGAAGACATGCTGTTCTAATGTATACTTAAGCATTGTCCTCTGCACATCTCTATGCACTGTAGCATACCTGTGTATGAACAAGTAGAGCTGTTCTTTCCTAGTGCTGTACTTTAAAGGATCTGGGCTACAAAGTATGTTAAATAACTTACAAAAATAAGCATAAAACCGGATATCCTGAGGGGGGAAAGTCAATATAAAGCCTGGGTCCAGCTAGGAGGGCAGTAGGTTGTAAAAATTAATGAGAATAATTGTTGAGAATTCTTGCTTTGGAAAGAAACCTCATGAGGGCAGAACTTTAATTATTTCTGTCTATTAGGGTTCATTTCCTGGTCCTAACCAGAAAACTAGTACCTAATAAATATGGGCAAGTAACACAATGATTTAAGCTGCAGCAAAATAGCCCTTAACTGCAGGGGAAGTTTAATATTTTGGAATCAACCTGATTGCATGCATCCATTGTGAAAATGGCAAGGAAATGAAATAAGCATGTGACCTATTTTAAGGGGGTAAATATTTCTGGGGGGTAGGTGTTTGGGGGAGCGTCTCCTCTGAGTTGCTGACAACTGCAGTGAAAACCTTACAAAAACTTTCTTCGTGGTTTCACCCTCACTTGATGAGGAGAGACCCAGTTTGTTTAAATATGCTTTCAGGCTGCCTAAAATATCAGGGGAAATAAACACAACTCCAACAGGGAGATTGCAGTGGTGCTAGTGAAATAAATCCACAGATCTGAAATCATTGGGGTCTTTCAACAGCATATATAAGCACACTGACTCTGATATGCATATAGATGTTCAGCAAAAAGAATTAAGGCTCACTTAAAGCCCTTTACAACAAATACTGGAATTCATTTGCAATATAATTCTGGAAATGTGTGTGTATAGAAGTAGATTGATATGTATAATTGTGTGTCTTGTATGTATATACAAACTAGGCAAATGTATGGGACTCTGAATACTTATGTTGCCTACAAATATGCTTACTATTGTACTATGAAAATATATTTTGCACAATCCACATGTCATCCATAGGAAAAATCAGTCCCTACTGTTAATTAAATTTACCTACATTTTCACACAGCTTTTCATTTTCTTTCTAGAGTAATATGAATTATTTTAAGCTATTCCACTCATCACACACAAAGCACTAAAATATTAGCTAGTGCTGGGTCTTGGAAAACTGGCTCCTACTGAAATTAGGCAGTCAGCAAATTTTATTCCCCTCCCTGGAGGGAGATGCCATTTAGTGTAGATCATTACATAGTTACATAATTTTTCAATTGGTTCTGTATCCTGGACTAAAAGATATTGGGTGGTTCCTGAATGGTTCTGATGAATTCATGGGTTTGCTGATACGAGACACACACAGGTGTATTTCCAGACAGGCAAATACACAGGTGTTATGTCTTATCAACCAGATACAGAAGATTTACAAACCCTCTCACCCTATGGAAGTTTACACATTTTGGACTTTCATAAGACACTCCTCCGGCAGTGAGCAGGTAAATTTTAGTACCTCAAAAACTGAGTTTGATTTCCTATAGGAAATATATTTTAAAGTGGTTTATTCTGTCCTTTTTATTACCATAAATTCTATTTTATATATATAATATAGGTGAACCTGTAACCAGAACTTAAATCAGATTTTATAGCATCCACAGCAGGGTTATAATTTAAGCCATAAATTGGCCAAGACTCAGTTGGACTGTAGTTTGCTAACAGCGATTGTTCTTTTAGTGCTAACATCTCCTATTTTTAAGGGCTTGGCGCCATTTTCTTTTTCTCCTTAGTGTTAGTAAGATGCTTTTTTCTTCATCACCCCATGTCTGCTTTTGTATCTAGTTGGTTGATGGAGATACTGAAGATATTGAGAAAGTGAAACGTGGTTGAAGTGGTTCAGGCGTTTCGTAGCCACCTCTCCAGGAAAAGATCCATAATTTATCCGGAGTATTAAAGTGACATGTTCTTGGTTTGAAATTAACCACATGATTTAACTTTTTAAACACAAAGAAACCATTCTACACATCCAGCAGTGTAATTAAAAGCCCCCTCGCCCTGACTTATAAACAGTTTACTGAGGAATTTAAAATTAAATTTTACCTTAGCATGACCTCCTTGCTTTGAAAGTAATCTGTTTGCCTCTAATCTAATGCTGTTCTCTTGCCACAGGTTTATATTTGCATGAATAATTAAGAATGATCTGGCTCCAGTTAAAAGATCTACACATTCCCATTAGCCCATTTATAAGTGGTCTCATGTGTCTGCTATTTATTATGTTCAGCCCCCCTCCCAAAAAATACATTTACTCTTGGTTTCCACCCCCATCATATTGCTAGGACCACTTCACCAGCAGGGAATACCTACGACTTGCCACTGCAGTCCTTGGGAAACTTTCTTGTGTCAGGAATAAATTCTCCAGGATTTAAAGGTAAAAAGCACTGCTGGGTCTGCCTCAGCCCAAGAGGTCAGGGAGTAATCCCACGCCCCAAAGCTACACGCGAGCCAACAGGAGGAATATAGCCCTTAGCTCACAGTTCCATGGGGTTTCAAAAGCACCAATAGGTGCGTGTGGACGTCAATGTGTCGTTATACAGGAGTGTGCGCGCACGTCTCCGCGCCTGTGCGCCGATATACGTGCATTATGCGTAATTCACTCTCACATCTCTCTCACTGCGGTTTCTCGTGCAGAAACGCAAAACGAGGCATTCCGTGGCCAACGCCTCGCCATTGCTTCCCTGATAGCGACTGGTTATACCCCGAAAGCCCTGAAACGAGCTATTGAGCTGCAAGTACCTTGCTTGCTTGAAGAGATTGCCAGCAAGGAACCAGTCTTAACATAGAAGGACCCAATGCAGCCAGCCTGGCTTATAAAAGAGACAACTGAAAGAGATACCGCTGGGGCGCTCTGCTCCTACATCGGATTACAGGGGGCGTGGAGGGGAGATAAAACAACCGTCCTGGGTTGTTCGCTTCACCTCTGAGTAAACCATCCAGTTCAACTAACTCTTTCTCCCAGCCCCACTTGGCTTGCGTGAAATTCCATCTTTACACAGTATTTCTGAAATGCCAGGAAAAACACGCCTGTGCAAACAGGCTTAGTTTCTGGTGTGGAAAGAAAGAAGGGGTCTGTGTGTGATTCTGCGGCGAAAGTGGATTTGTGTGGTTGTGGGAGCGGGGCAGAGGGAAATACTGTGCCTGTTAGTGGCAAATTGGCTAAGGCTGCTGCGCTTTAAACTTTTAAGTGCAAACAAAGCTTTCCCCCCTCCCCCTCCTGCCCCAGACCTCACTCTTGCACGTGCCATGGCTCACCCATCCCAGTTACCTTGTGGTTCTGGTAGGAAGTCACTGCGATGAAAGCCGTCTCCGGAAAGACATGGGTGCAGAAGGCTGTGTTTTTGGAGCCGAATCCGTTGTTCTCGTCCGCTTTCACGATATGGAGCCGGGGTTGGTATTTGTGCATGGAGTTCAGTATGATCTTGAAAAGAAAGAAACACACGGGGGGAGGGGGGTGTCAAGCATCGAGGATCCAAGATCCTTCCCTCTTTCCTCAGGCTAAGGTTTGCAAGGGCTTTGGAGGGGGGACGGATAGGGGGGCCCTAAAGGAAACCCCAGGCGAACTGCATTTAGCATCTATAGACTTTGCGTCCCTCTAAAAATGTGTGGATTTCGCATCTTTATGGGTCTCCCGAGGAGCAGAAATAGCTGAGCTTTTTTTTTTTTTTTCCACGAACAAGGCAGACCTTCTGCTATACTGAAAGCCAGCCCCTGGCCACGGGAAGCAGACATGAGCAGTGGGAATATTTTCCAACAGGAATATAAAATTCATCTCAGCAAGGAATCTACAAACCGCCTGGCCATAAATCAGGTTCCTCGCTAAACACGATCTTGCAATAATATAACTTTACAGAACTTGAGGGACTTGCGTGTGCCTGAGTCTAACATACATATTCACATTTAATAAAAGCCATGGGCCAGCAGTTCTCCTGGCTGCAGTGTAACCCCAAACTGAAGCATTTGGCTCAGTGGTTCTGTAGCTCAGTGGAAGGGTTAGGCTCCTGTTTTATTTTGACTGCCTACGCATTATAGTTATTGCCCTGCTAGTCACATTTATTGTGGGTGGGGATGCGTACGAAAGGAAATCCGACCCATCAGAAATTACATAATAGAATTCCTGGGGATCATAAGTTATTCATTGCTCAACTTGTGAGAAAGGCCTGAAATGAAGACCCGTGCGGCGTGATAACTGAACTCGATTTCCCTTTAGTGCCCTCTTACAGGATGAAGCTGTCTCTCTCTGTCGAATCTGGAGAAGACTATTTAGCACTGGTCGAAATGTGTGTTTGTGTATATACATTACAGCCTTAAGATATAGCTGGACTCTCCCCTGAAATCCCCACTTCTTTGACTCTCCTATTGTGTCCTTTTCACACTTGTCCATTTTTTGAAAGCTAAAAATTAGAGCAGGTGGAAATGTTTTGAAAAAGCTTCTTTTGAAAGAGATCGTCTAGACAGGCGCAACTTTTTCAAAAAAAAAAAGTGATCCACTTTTCAAAAGAGAGCGCCCAGGCAATCTGGACGCTCTCTTTCAAAAAAGTCCTGTTTGAGGTCAAGAACCTCTTTTTTCGAAAGAGCTCTTTTGAAAAAAAAAAGGCGTTCTTCCTCATAAAATGTGGTTTACCACTGTCAAAAAAAATAAACCCTGCCATGTTCTTTTGATTTAATTTCGAAAGAACGCGGTGGCAGTGTAGATGCAAGTGAAGCTTTTTGAAAACGATAGTTTAGACACAACTTTTTACTTTTCCCAAGAACAATCACTGGGGAGAGAATCACCATTTCCCAGCTGTTTCCACATATAAAATCAATAAGCAAGCCTCGCTACTTATTTGGATACAGGACAATGCTGGTCGCTGATGGCCCCCATTGTAGGTTAAGCGTTGACCCGGAGTTCTTTCTCCAAGAGCTAAACATGTTTCTGACCGGGCTGACAGTATCCAAAGAGACTTAAATTATTTTCTTAAACAAGCCACCCATCTTTACATGGGCTTGTCTAGGTCCCACCATAAAACCAGATTATGTCCCTTTCCAAAGCGTGGCACTCAACTGGGATTAATCTTGGGAGAAAAAAATGTTTCTCTCTGGCTTCCCCCCCCCCCCCCCCCCCCACCCCACCACCCTGGTTGTATTCTGTAATGATAATGACTGCTGCAGTACTTGGCGACAGACAGTCCCGGCCCCTGCAAGTCATCTTTGCTTGCAAGACCCTGTCATCCTGGGGATTTAGCCAAATTGCTTTGACATCCCGGTAAGTCGTGGACATCAACGGTGAACGATCTAATGATTTTTAATTTCATTACAGCGACTCTAATTGAGAGACCACTGATGCAACCTCTTCTCTGAAGGGCCTATTGTTTAGCACGGCCTTAGGTTTGTTTAAAGAGACTGTTTCATAGCGCCGCCTGTTCTCTGTAGGGGGTAATATGGCTGGGGCTTCTCTCTTCTAAGGGCACTTGCTATCAGCCCACCACTCCCTTCTTTCCCGAAAACTCTGTCTTTAAAGCGTAGATCCTCGGGGTGGGAGAACTTCAAGGGGGGCAGGGGTTGCTGTTGGAGTCTAACCCTCCAAATACAGTACAAGATCTTCTAGCTACGGATTATTCCCCCTCTACTGGAGTTTGACAGAGAATCTCAGTTTCTGGAATGGACGTTTCTCCACCCTGGTCTATTGGAGAACCTCGTGGAGAGTGTATGCTCTATTTGGGGGAGCAGAGGGAGGAGAGATAAACACACGATCATTAAGAGGAAGGGGGGTTCGATTAGGTTGGGATCTCACATCTGCCCAACAGTTCCTTAGTTAATAATCCTCCCTCCCCTCCTCCCCTTCATTTTGCTTGCCATTTGCCATAGCGGTCCACGTGGAGGATTCATTCCATCAGTGGAGGCCGTGTGTGTATGGATTTAATGGCACAAGATGCGTTGTTCAAAACAATCGCAGTGTTGAAAAGAGACTGGAAAATACGCCCTTGGAAAGGGACACTGGGGATCTTGATTCATACCCTGTTGTTTAGTTCTACATGTTTTTGTTCAAAGGCAGGCGTTTGAAAAAAGACTGTTCATGGCTGGGCAATTCACACACGTGGGCGATCTTTCTTTCTTTCTTTCTTTCTTTCTTTCTTTCTTTCTTTCTTTCTTTCTTTCATTCATGTATTTACTTATCTGGGCCTTGCAGAGATCATTTATGTTTATGAAGAGTTAGTGGGCTTTTAGCCTTGTTGCATTTTGAATTGGGGACCACAAAATATATTTGTCGTATTCCCTTAAATAATTGTGTCTGGTTGCTTTTTGCCTTTAACTAAATTCACAGAGACAACGAGGAGTCCCGTTGGACCTTAGAGATTAGCAGATTTATTTGGTCGTAAGCTTCTTGTGGCTAAAAACCACTTTGTCAGATACATCCGACATAGTGGGACTTTGCCCACGAAAGTTTCTGCCCAAATAAATCTGGTCATCTTTAAAGTGCCACGGGACTCCTGGTTGTTTTTGCGCATGGAAACTTAACGCGACTGCCCCTATGAGACAAATTCACGGAGACAGCAAACAGATTTTGAAGCTCTAAGGCGCCACGTGAGGTTAAAAAACAGATAATTAGATAGTTATTCACTGGAACCTAGAGCGTTTAACCTGTTTTAAGAATGGAGCCACGGTCCAAGTCCTGAGAAGGGTTTGCCTAAGCAACTCACAGACCATACAGCTAAATACTCAGCTTGAAAGAACGCTGAGACGGAACATGAATTCAGATTTCTCAATGGCCTGCTGACCAAAACAGACCTTCCCAACAGTATAACTTTGGAAATGACCTCGACTTCCCCTACATTCCTTGCAAACGTACCAAGTCGTGCAATACAGACTAGGCAGCGCAGTGCCAGACGCACACGCCGGCCACAATGCGCGCAAATGAAACAAAGGGCGCAGAGCGGATTTTGTATTATTTTCCTAATGAGCGAGAGAGTCCTAAGAGTGGGACCGCCACAGGTTATCAACTCCAGCCACCTGCTCTGACATAGGATGGGTGGTGCGTGAAAAAAAGGGGGGTGAGAATGCTGACATCAGTATTTTTGCTTCATACATTTATACTAAAAGTACCATGCTGTTTATGTTAAAGGATAATTAATTCCATTGCCCTCTCCGCCCCCTTGCATTGTTCCCTTACACCACAGCCTCAAAAGTTTTGCATCTGGCCCCAATCGGATTTCTTAAGGTTTTCCTTTTCCTGTGAATTACTCTCTACTGTTTCTTTAAATAGGCCCGAAGTCTGTGCTTTGCAGTGTCCTAGCACAGCTGCCAAGATGTTGGGACTATATCTGATCAGACCCAGCAATTTACCACGTTGCACAGAGACATGCGATCATGTTTTATATTACACCAAGCGTCACCACCACCCCCCCCCACACACACACCATGTGTCTTATAGGAATGTCTCAAAATGCAGCGTACAGAGTAACAGCTCAATTATATACCACTGTTGACAACCGTCCTAGGACTTCGTCAACCCTCAGCAAGCACCCAAAGCCATTTAATGAAATTAATACCAATGTTATTAGTATTGAATCTCTTTCCCGCTTCAGGTTCCCCCTCTCCCGGTCCTGACTTTTTATTTCGAGTTACAAACAGCGATGCCACAAAAAGAGTAAACCAGTGCCAAAACTACCAGCCTGCCTATTAGCTCCCCGGTTCGTTCAGACACTGTGTTGGACAACAACCCGACCTCCTCCCCTACGCGCCCTGAGCCGGCAGCCTTTTGCTGCAAGCATTCTGTCCCGGGGCTTTGCCTAGCCCCCTGGGTTTCCCTCACATTCAACCCGCGGCGTTCAGTGGTGAACGGAGATGTAGGCTCTGTGCCCTGCAAAGGGTTTTGGCGACTTGCAGCCCGCCGGGGAGCTGAATGGGTAACAGACAGAGGAGTGCGTCTCCCCGCGGAGGTACTTACATGTCCAAATGGGTCAAGGTGGTTGTTGGTGAGCTTGAGTTTTTGAAAAGAAACTAGCTGCCTCATCCAGTGTGCCCCAGTAGCGGGTGAGTCTGGGTGGACGTACAGCCTGCCTGGCATGGCAGGCTCTGCCTTCCCTGTCACTGACCTAAACCAAATGTACACAAAGCCAGCTTAGCCCTCCGGACCCGCGTCAGACCTACACACCGCCCCAGCTAAGCGCGTCCAGAATCACAGGACGGGCAGCGCGGGACAGAACCACTGGAAATGTGTCTAGCGATCGCCTCTGGGGTATGTCAAAGGAAATGCGCCTTGGATGGTCGCACCCTATTTTTAGGGAAAGGAGACCCGAAGACACAACGTGCTGGAAGTTAATTGAGATTTTTGACACATTTTCCGTTGGATTCTCCCTCCTCATCCCCTCCCCCTTCCCATGTAACCACGTCGCCTCCTCTTTCTAATTAGCGTGCGTCAGGCGACGACGAAAGAAAAGACCATGTGGCAATTCTTAACATTCACCTTCAGGACGATTTTCTCTCTTAAACTCAATTAAGTTGTTGGCCCCACAATCACCAATAATCTCATGGTCCAGCAGGATTAAAGTGATTGTTCGCTAATTACAATAGATTTTCTCTTTTGTCGTCCCCCCACCCCCACCCCGTAAGGAGTTGGCTGGCAGGCTGAAACTATCTCGGGACAGTCTGGTGAACCCCTGCAACATTTTCCCCGCCCCCATCCAGCATTTCGTCTTTTGCAGTTTATTCATAACTCCAGCTGATAGTTAAACGGTATTTCTCAGGCCATTTGAACTAGGCGTTGCTAACCGGGCAAGCCAGACACAAAGATCTCTGCTCCTCTCCCGTCCGCCCATGCACGCATACCATTTATTATCTGCGAATTTGTATCTGTGGTCATCAGCTGGTACAATATCCATGAGCAGTATGTACTTAGTTTTTGGATTGAGTCCAGTGACCTTCACTTTGTAACTGGGGAACATACGCCTATACAAACAAACAAATATAAATATAAATATAGAGAAGAGAACATAACAAGAGAATCACAAACCCAGGTACTTGTGATGAAATTATACGATAAGACTATTATATAATATTAAACTAGATGCCATTCCGTATCCTCCAAAAATAAGACTCACAAAACTTAACTTCCCCTTTATGATGCAACAGGGACTTTTTTTTTCTTTCTGCTGGGTATTGCACCGCTATTATAGTTCCTATCCCAAGCAAAATAGTTAATTAATTATTGTTATGAGGGATGTTTTAAATCTCTTCTTTGTGTTTGTGATCAATTCAGTAGTTCAATTCTTCATTATTTTACCACAGAGAGGTGGATAGTGTGTTTCAGGAATAGTTATATTTATATCCCTACAAAGAGTAAATTATACTTATGTAAATATGAGTCATTGCTTTTGCAGAAATATTGGCCTTTTAATAAAACACATGCTTGTACATTTAACATCTCTGTGTGGGCAAGTAGGGACTGTGATATATACATATAGGATACATACACATGCATATATACATAAATACACTTGACAATATTTTGAAACATGCAAACACCCTTAAAAAGTGAGTTTTAGAAATATTTTCCTTTACTACAAGCAAATAACAAGCAATGTTATATTGATTTGAGCTTTCTCAGCGTTTAGAAATAGGCATATGAAACTGTATCCTATAGTTTAAAAACTTACTTATTTCTGAAACTATATTTGCTTTCATATCTTTGCAATATGAAATTCAGGTTGTTGAGTGATATAAAAAAGGGGGAAGCATATGCAGACCGTATTAAAATAATCAAAAAGAGCAAAAACTGACATTTAACATTTGCAGGAAAAGAGAAGAAGACCTGAACAATGAATCCCCAGATCCCTAAACATGTAACTAACAAGTAAGACGCAAACATTTTATTTTAGTAGTGTATTAATTATGTGTTACATAAATAGCTAAAACCACTTTATTTATTCTGGGGAGAAGTATGCAATTGTTTCTCTATACGCTCAACATTGTAAATGTTTTTCATTGCCATCCAAATGAGACGTTTATCCACGTCTATACTTGGAACATTTGTTTGAATTTTATAGAGATGGTCTTTTTTTTTCTTCACTGCTCTGTATACTCTGATCATTTGCAAAGCAACTTATTCCTGGCATTTTGAAACAAGTCAACGGGCTTGCCATTC